GAGTTTGTAATATAACTTCATTCGTTGCACGAGAATGTAACGAATCAACTTTGTTTTCATTAATATTTTTATCATTCACATCTGGTTTGAGAGAATCAGACTTAATACATTCAATATTTGGGCCCATGAACTTTACATGTCTTTTAGAACACAACTGACAAGTTATTTGAGATCGACATCTAGAAGCAAGATGACCTTTAGCCAAACAAATTCGGCATAATCCTTTCCTTTCTATTATTGCAATCTTTTCTTCTAATGGAATAAAAAACGCCCTTTTACAAAAGCGAACCGGATGATTCTTTAAACATAACACACATATTTCGTTTGGTTCATTAATGAATAATTCATTAGCAGACGGGAGTGAGCGTTGGCTCTCTGCCAACTGCTTGCATTCACGCTGATAGGGAAATATGTCCGATCTACTTAATTTTATTTTTTCTTCTGATTGCATTTCGCTCTTTAGAAACGAAACGATAGAATCAAGTGTTGCAGTCTCATTATTTTTTCTTTGTCTTTCAAATGAATGCAATGTATGGGTCGGTAACGCACTTTCGACTAACGGATATAATATTATTCCGCACTGATCCGTGGTTATACCTAAACTACTTAAAGCCTGAAGTTGAGTAGAAAGTTTATTATACAAACCACTTAAAGAAGCTTGTTTCTTTTTAGTAGCGTTATTTAAAACAAGTTTTAACAACTCTCGTACATAAAAATCAATTAATAATTCATTTCGTCCATATCTTTCAACTAAGCTTTCTATCGCCAAAGGATAGTTTTCATTTGTTATAGGAAAAGATTCAATAAGCTCTCTGGCTTCCGATTTAATTTTTGTCGATTGAACTAAGTAATGAAATTTATCACAATTAGTTAAATTTTATTTTTCGTGTATGTTTTTAAACTGATTCCAAAAGGTTAACCAGTCTTTTAATTCACCTCCAAATTTATACAGTTCAACTTCAGGAAGTCGTGGGGTAATCGCTTTATACGGATTTTCGCAATCAGCCAAATGAGAATTATTACCGGAATTACTACCTTCGTTATTATTTTGTTTACTCTTAATATTCTCTAATACACGTTTAGACTTTAATTCTATTCTCAAAGCCTTTTCTCTATATTCTTCTATAATATTAAATTCAATTTTGAATTCTGTTTCATCTGTTAAAGCATCCAAATAATTATTATGTGTTAACTCTAACGAGTTCGTATTTGCCTAAGCAAATGTAAACACATATCAATTTTTTCCGCGTCAGCGTTTTCATTTTTTATCAACACACTCTAACTTAGTGTATGCTTTCGTAAACGCAATACGCTGTGCTGTTTTATTTCGTTTAATAATTTCCATCTTTACTATCTTATTAAATCATTAAATCAGTTCATACATTCAATAATAAATATATGTCTATGTTTAAGATATAATTATATCAATAACTTCAAAATGGAAATTCAATTCGCTTACCGTTATCAAAATCCAAACCAAAACCCGCCCACCCGGGGGCGCCAGAAATATAGTTTCTAATACTATTGTTCGTAAGAATAATGTAGGGGTTTGGTCCATAGACGACAACGATGAGAAAAGAACATCAACCAGATATATTTTAAATCAAAACAGCACAGCAAAACACATTAAATTCTTTTCATTCATAACACTTTTCATCCATTACACTTTAGAAAACAAAAAACGTTTTTTCTATCTGTTGCCACTCCCTCACAGAGAAACTTACCTCTCACGGTTTTTGGATAGGGGCGCAACACCTTTTTTATAAAAGGAGAACGTTTTGAAAAGGTTATTCCAAGTTAATTTTTTGCCAAAATATTCCATTTAAATAATTTTATTTGTCATAATGTCCTTAAAAGAATTTTATACATGCATTCTAATCTAAGTGACACTAAATATCATGATAATTATCCATTTATGCGCTTTTTTAAAATCGCGGTTCCGAACGTAGTCGGATACATTGTTAACAATTTATTTTTCTGATAATTCTCAATTTTCTTACGGTTAACCCCCCCTTTACTCCGTAATACATTATTCATTCAAATATATTAACCTTGCTTTGACTCATTAAACAAATTTCAAATCTCTTGTCTGGTTTATTTTGACTCAAGCTGCGCACATGACGATTTCATAGCAGTTGCAGCGTATAACAGACATGAGGAAGGCATTGTATAAACTTTTATTCTTCATCGATGAGAACTTTCATTTTTCTCTGGCAGCTGTTTGACAACAAACGATTAACTAAAACTAGTTCCACCACCTTCAACTCTACTCTTCCAAAGTCAATGTCAGGGTCATTAAGAAATCATCTTCACTTTCACTCCCTCGTAGAATTGAAACCCGTTCTGTACAATCGCCTATGCCCTGAACACGACATTCGAAATCATATCAAGGCGTTTCTTTCGTTTTTGTTTTCTTAGTAACGTAATTCGAATCAAAGGGAAACATCTTGCAATTTTACCTGTTTGGTGTCTAGAAAATTTTGTAATTTTGAGCTGTTTCGTAATTGGAAATGCCAGAGATTTTGAAATATTTAACTCTAGATTGATCATAAATAGACAATTTTAATCGACAATATTTTATAATTATAACTTTATTTATTAACTGAGGGATTCTGAAACGCAAACAGTTTTTTTAGGCAAAGAAGAAATTTTGCTTAGTTAATTGTGGCAACTTTGATGCGTGCGTTCTAAAATACAATTTGAGTAATTTATGATTTGGTGATTTCAACTCTATTAAAAGATTACGCTTTGAAATTTTTAAGGTATTCGAACACGTTCTGAGAATTTTTTTTAAAAGTAGCACACTAAAAAATTATAAAATAATTTTTTAAATATGAATATGCCAATAAATATTAATATTTAACCACACACACAAACACACACACACAGCAGTTATTAAAATAAATTATCTAAAGTTTACAAAAAAGCCCAATTATAAGTGAAATTTTATCAATTTTTGAAAAATTCTTCGAAGTAGCCAGAGAAAAAATAATAAACTTATATATCTATATAAGTATGAAAAAAAAACATATGTTTTTCTAGGTAATTTACTACAGTTTTAACATTTTATTAAATTCTAAACATTTTAAAACTCATCGAATATATATTGCAAGAAATGTGACATACTTATGAAGCTATTATTAAAATAACAGGCCATAATTGAAAAAATATTCATACAGTAAAACTTATATTTCAACATATTCCCCCTAGAAAATGACATATAAATTTCAGGTAAGTTTCACAGAAATACATCTTTAATATCTTGATTTAGACCCACCAGGATAAATTATGAACCATTTAAAAGCCCACTTCTGGTGCATAAAAAATACTTACTTCCGGTATTTCTAATTTTATGTACTTTAATGTAACTTGGCCTGTATGTAACGTAAGAGCAAAATGATACATGTTTTGTAAAGACAAAAGATTTTGCAATTCAATAAAATAAAATTAAAAAAAATCGAAAAATATGTGTTTTGGTCATTTCAACAATTTCAGATTCTTTAAAATAATTCTAACTAAATATTTTATAAGAATTCGATTGCATCGACGTAAATAAAAGTTTATTCACTTCAGAATCAGTCATTTACGTTCCTCAGCAGATGGCAATCTATAAGAAATTAGTTAAGAAGTTAAAATCTTATCTAATTTTGAATATATACTACTGAATAAGAAACTATCGGATGATATGAAACAATATGGTTCCAGTTGAAGGATAATGGGCATATTATGAAAAGACCTAAGATGTTAAGTAAATGGAAAAGAGAAATAACGATGAAGGTTTTCGAAGAAATAAAATGAAGATTTAACCTAAAAGAAATGAATACTGGACAAGTTTTTAATTTCCTACTATTAGTTCATACTCTCCCTATATATATTTATTTATATATATATAGGGTGTTTTTTAGAGGTATAAAACTTTAAATTGCAATAAAACAACGATGTATTATTCGATTGATATGAATTTCTTTTTTATTCGAAAGATAATCTTGTGGCATTACATTTTAAATATGATCAAGCAAGGCGTAGATTCGTCGAATGGGCCCAAAACGAGATGCCGTTGTTCCCGATTTTCATAAGCGAATTTTGTTTAGTGATGAAGCGCACTTCTGGTTGAATGGCTACGTCAACAAACAAAACTGCCGCATTTGGAGTGAAGCTAATCCACAAAGTGTATGTCGAAACACCGTTACATCCAGAAAAACTGACTGTTTGGTGCGCTTTATGGGCTGGTGGAATCCTTCTTCAAAAACGATGAAGGCCACAACGTTACAGTCAATGGTGATCGGTATAGAGCCATGATTACTAACTTTTTCATTCTTGAATTGAACAATCATGATGTCCAGGAGCTGTGGTTCGAACAAGACGGCGCAACATGTCACAAGCTCGTGCCACAATCGATTTATTGAAAGACACGTTTGGTGATCGCCTAATTTCACGTTTTGGACCTGTGAATTGGCCTCCAAGATCTTGTGATTTAACACCGCTAGACTATTTTCTGTGGGGCTATGTAAAGTCATTGGTCTATGCGGATAAGCCACAAGCGCTTGACCATTTGGAAGACAACATTCGCCGTGTTATTGCCGATATACGGCCACAAATGTTGGAAAAAGTCATCGAAAATTGGACGTCCAGATTGGACTGCATCCGAGCCAGCCGTGGCAGTCCTATGCCAGAAATCATATTTAAAATGTAATGCCACAATATTATCTTTCGAATAAAAAATGATTCATGTCAATCGAATAATACATCGTTGTTTTATTGCAATTCAAAGTTCTATACCTCTAAAAAAAACACCCTTTATATCTTGTTCAAATTTTCAATCTTTAGTAAAATACTTTTATTCTTCCACTCAAGCTCAAATACAATTTTTCAAATCTGTAGTGGAGGACACTTGATGTTAATACAATTTTTTCGAATATTAAGTCATTAATTAACGAATAAATAGAAAAAGCAAGAATAATAGTCCAACACCATATATAAAAAGGAAAATCGCTCGCTGTGTCTCTGTAGCGCAATGGATAGCGCGTTGGACTTCTAATCCAAAGGTCGAGGATTCGAATTCTGCTTGGGATTTCCTAATTTCTGAGAATGGGATTTATGAATGAATAAATAATAGCAAAAATATTAGTCCAGTACCATACACAGAATAGAAAATCGCTTTCTATTTTGCCACTTAATATTGTGATTCTGTCATATGTATATACATATTTATATTAATTGTAATTATTTAATAAAACATAACTAAAATGAAAATTTTCTTTGTTGACCTATAAGTAGGAATTGACTTCAAATTTCTTTTTATATTAGTTGTTATATTTTCTTTTCAAAACACTTAAAGCACTTTTTTACCTCAGCTTTTTCCCCCGCAAAACTTCTAGGGCAGGGATGGCGAACCAGTGGCACTCGTGCCATTGATGGCACGCGACACAATATTTTTGGCACGTCAGTGATCAAAATGGTTTGCATTTTATTTTTCAAAATTTCCAAGTTCATTATAAAGTATTAAGAACAAAAGTGAGTGATCGGTGAGCACACTCGTTTGTGATTGTCTTGCCTTGGATACGTTGTAGACTACAATTGCATATGATGTAAAGTTTGTCTACGCATAGCACAGACAATTTCATTGACACAACTATGTTTTAAAGATTACCTATGTTATATTTACGATTTTTAACTGTTGTTTAACATGGCTAGTTCAGCAAAAAAAAAAAAAAAAAAAGAGCAAGTTTGTAAGTGTAACAGATAATTTCAAATTAGGTGGACCGAGAAACACGGTATTATTAGTAAAGGTGACAAAGCGATATGCGTTTTATGTTGTAGAATATCGATATGCAGAACATCGTCTGTAAAACGGTATTTTGAAACAAATCACAAGCCTTCTTGTTAAAAAAATGTGAACGACAGCAAAAATAATTAATTACTGTTTTACAAAAGACTCAAATTCACCATGTTTTCTACAAAAAGTAGCAACTTACAATTCTAATATAATTTATTTGTCCTCCTATCTGCAACAACAGAAGTCACATTAATGTTACTTTAATTTTTGCCAAAAAGTCTGCCCTCTCATTTCCCCAAGGACCACAGTGGGATGGTACCCATTGAAAGACGATCTTTCCTTCAGACGGGTATCCTTCAGAACTTTCGCAGAGACCTGACACTTCATTCTGCCAAACTGGAAATTAAAAGGATTTTTAGGGAATCATTTCGCCTTACAGCTTCTCGTGTTGCTCGTGATAAGCCTTCGAGTACACTATGTAAGAAATCCCACGGTATTCCAAGTTCTCCTCGTGTTGCTGATGTGGCTAAATTTAGACTTTTAACCGGACATGACTGCCTTTGTGCTCATCTGTTTCGTTTTAATTTAGTGACTTCACCTATCTGCGTTTTGTGTGACACTGGACAAGACATGACTGCCGCTCATTTGGACGAGTGCTCTGCACTGAATGATCTTAACTGCATTGTAAAAAGGTATTGGAGAGCCCGTTGCCTAATGACCTGATGGTCAATGGCCTGGCATTTGTAAAATGTTACTTTAATTTAAATTACACGAATAACTATAAAGCATTTATAACTATACAACGCAAAAAGTATTTTTCATATATATATATATATATATAGATTTTCGTGTTATTCATATTTAGATAGATTTTTTTCGTGTTATTCATATTTAGTTTTTTTATTTTCCCAACAATTACAATTTGACGGCACGCCTATACGTCATTAGACGCTTCCTTGGAAAAAAGGGCACTTTGATTAGTAAAGGTTCGCCACCCCTGTTCTAGGGAATGACATCAGATTGTTATAAAGAATGATAAGTCCACGTTTTCTTTTTCATAAAAATTCCATCTAAGTTGTAAGAAATTTTAGTCTATTTATTGTTAATGGCGTGAATCATTGAAAAAAAAATTACTTTCAAAATCGCTGAGCTATCAGAAATAATTTTTTTCCGAAAAATATCATTATATATTACTATATCATTATTACTATTTTGTAATGACTTAAATTGTAGTTATTAAATTCTTTTCAACACCCTCCCCCTCTTAAAGTCAATCAAATATACAGAAATAATAAACAACTTTAAGCAGCACATTTCGAATAATAAAGGTCTAAATATGTTTATCACATAACCAATCACAAAAGTGATTCAGCGATTTTTTAAAATATATTTATCGAAAACATCTGTATAACTAAGGAGACCATTTTTTCTTACAATGAAAAGGAGGACGAAAAATTTAAGAAAAAATGACAACTTGAATATAAGAGAGAAACGCTTTATTAATTCAAACAAAAATACGCTAATTAGGCTTAGATTCTTTTTAATTATTATCTTAAAAGAGTATTTTTCCATTGAATGAATTTTTTTTGTCAACATATCATTTTCTAATATATCGGGAATTTCGGGCATAAAATATCCTTCATACTGAATTTTATGGTTAAGCACTGCAGTTAAAATATTAAGGCATCCGACTACGTTCAGAACCGTGATTTTGCAAAAGCGTACAAATGAAAAATATTTATGATATTTGGTATCACTCAGATCAGAAAATGTATATAAAATTGTTTTAAGAATAGTATTACAGTAAAAAATTATTTAAGTACAATATTTTGACACAAAAATGAATATAGAATGACCCATTTTCAAAATATTCTCCTTTTGTGAAAAATGCTTCTATTATAATAATATTTTGGCTGTATATAGCTCAGACCTTTCTACAGAAGCTCAACTAGAATTTTTGAATTATATAACCTACAAGAGGCTTTATCTATATTTTACGACAACACAGAGGAGCAATTTTAAGAACCCCCCGATAATTATTTCAATTGGTTGTAACTCTGAAAGTAATGTGAATTTTTCAAAAACCATTGTTGAGCCTCTGTAAAGGGATCTGAGCTATATACAGGCAAAATATTATTATAATAGAAGCATTTTTCACAAAAGGAGAACATTTGGAAAAAATGTTATTCTAAGTTCATTTTTTGCCAAAATATTGTATTTAAATAATTTTTTTTGTCAAAATGGCATTAAAACAATTTTATACAAGTATTCTAATCTAAGTGACACTAAATATCACGAAAATTATTCATTTATGCGCTTTTTTAAAATCACGGTTTCGAAAACAGTCGGATACCTAACATTCAATTTTGTGTGATTTCTCACTAGTCACTTCACAAAAATCATTACCAACTGAAAAAAACTCTTTCAACTGCTGCATTAGTTCCAGGGCAGCAATAACATAAATTCAACAAGAATAATTACATTTTCAAATGGAATGTGTTCATTTTTGAAATGTGGTTCAAGTAATTTCACCTATCTTTTACCAATTTCTCAGCATGTCGATTTTCCAATTGTTCTAATTTATTAGAATTTAAATATACATTCAGTCTTCTTTCTACTTCAAACAGATAATTGTCATCGATTATAATATCAGGCATTTCTTTACATAACAACTCTACGTAATTTTCTATACCTACCCAATTTATACTTGCGACAAAATCAAAAAGTACCATTGAAAACGATTATTTCTTGTGATATTTGTTTCAAACCATTCTTCGACATTTTGGTAACATGTTTGATTCATCTCTGAATACAGAGATAAACAGATCAGATTTAAAACATTGAAAAGGAGGTGAAAAAGGAGGACACTTTTCAAGGAAGGACAGAACCTATAAAAGGACGACTGTCCTTCCTAAAGGAGGATGGTTGGGGTCACCTTAGTATAACTCGACCGGTTTCGACTTTTAAATCGCTTTCAATTTGTTCTAAAATTTATAAAACAATCATCACGATAAGATATACATTTTGTGAGATGAACAGGAAAATGTCAAAAATTATTTATTTTTTAAAACTGTGGTATCTCTTTCCTCTTCATTCTTCTGTGTCTAAACTACTACGAAACAAACGGCAATAAATGATGACATATGATTCTTAGATTCGTAAAACAGTTCGAATACATCAGGGCAGTGACCTCCAAATTAGTTTTGACCAAATACCTGTAAAAAGAAAAAGAAAAGGAGAACCCCCTTTTCTCTCTCACACACAATATTTATGTGTATATTCTCTACATTTAAATACCTCCTTTCTTGTTTTATAGAAGGCGATGCTGTAGCGCTTATGATTAAAAAAATAATACATCGACTTTCGCTACTCTCATTTACGCGAACCCGTAGTTACGAGATTTTCAAATCACGTTGATTCGTCTTTTGTTTGAGTGCTACACATCTCGATTACTCACTCCCCGCTTCATGTTTAGCAAAACATATTCGGACGTATCGTGAGGAATCAACGCAAATCCATAATAATTTATTTTTTTATTTACGGAGTGTGTAATTGATATTACATGTTATAGTTGTTATACCGTGTTCATTATTATATGTATTATATCTACTCAGATTTGAGAAACGGCTATGCGATACAAATGAAGTAGAACTGATTCTTCTGCACCAAAAACGAAGAGAAAAACTTTATCTTTAAAATGTAAACTTAACATTATTAAAGACTTCGATACAGAAATGAGAATTTGTGAATCAGCATGCAGGTTTAATCTAACGAAATCGACGGTCAGGACAGTAATAAAAGGCAAAGAAAAAAATTCTCGACGCTATGAAAAATGCGCGGTCTTTAAATTCAACCACCGTTCGTAAACGTCTTCGCATTATCACTAAAATCGAAACTTTGCTAAAATTATTTTGTGATAATCAAGTAAGTGTGAAAATTGTCTTCTCAAGCTAAGCTGATTTTTGACAGATTGAAAGAGGATGCTGGAGATAGACGGTCAAAGACGAAGAGTTTAAAACTAGTAATGGTTGTGGTTCAGCAATTTTAAAAGTCATTATAATTGGCATAGCAATGCGATTTTGTATTTGAGTAATTTATGATTATATTAAACATTTTTTTCTTATCTATTTTCTCTCGTATATCCGGCACAAACTAAAAATAATTTATGCGTATTTATATTTGAAATTATACCCCAACTTACGCAGCTAGAACTCAGTCCCCCCTATGAGTTCGGTGTATTACTGTATTCCAGTTTCTTTCTTTTTTTTGTAGTGTATTGTTTTTTTATATATAAAAT